GTATTGCAAAGTTGTATTCAGAAAGAATAAACCAGTTTTATTTATAAAAAGGACTTGTATCGGTAAAGTTTCTTCAGAAAGAATTTTTACGGAAAATTAACTAACGGACGGAGACGCAACAATATTGTATTCGTGTAAGATGGAAACACTACAATATTGGCATCATGGTTTACATTTTGTTGGACCTAAATTTGACTAGCTTAAATTTTTATGCATTTCAGTGGTTCCATATGAAAATCATTCAAGTTTTGTTAAAAGTCTTATCTTTAGTATTCAATTATACTGTTGCTGACAGATAAAATGAAGTATCCAAAAAATTCTGGTTCTGGGATAACTTCTATTTGCTGCTAAAGTGGAGAGAGTTTTTACACCAAATGAAGACAGGGTCAAAGGAAAAGCTGGAATGAGAGATGTCTCAGTTTTATGTCAAACCGAGGTCATTTACTGTAAATAAGAAGCTGCTAAGTTGAAAACTTTCACAATTTGTATGAATATATATTTTATTTATTTGAATAATTGCACATTTGTATTTCCTTTGAGATCTGTGTGTTTAAAACATTACTCTACAAAACATTTTCAGAACCAACATTTTGTTTATATTTAAATTTGTAAAAGCCTGTGAAACAAGTAAAAATTTACAAATTTCAAACATTTAATTAGGATAATTACTACTTCTAATGTTGTATTTTAATGAATAGTGTCTACTGTAAAAGTTTTTAGCTAGAACATACCAAACTGTTTTGTAAAGTATATCATTTAATGAATTTTTGTTTCATTTCCCAACTTGTTACAATACAGTGAAAATAAAAAAATGTATGTGTGTTTATGTATGTATGCGTACATATACAGATGTATCATCTTTTTCTTTGTTAAAGATATCTCGTAGATAACGTATGATAATTTGTTAACAGTCTTTTCTCAATATCAAAGGAAATATTTAAAGTAAACTTAAAAGTGCATTCATTGAATACTAAGATTTCACAGTATAATGTTGTTTGAAATCACATTAGGTACAGTTTGTGGAACATATTTTTTTCATTATGTTCAAGAGCTAAATGGTGAAAAGAGCTTCTGTATCTGCAGGCAAAAAGGAAACATGTTCTTCTTGATATATAAGTTTTTACTGTAAACACTTTTAACAGAAAATTATTATTAAATTAAATGATAAAGGAATTAAAGTTTGTGATGATTTCATAATTCTGTAATGATTTTTGGACAAGAATGAAAAAAAAAACATTTCATCTGTATTTGCACTCTGCCCAATAACAGAAAATATAAATGTCAGTAGTGTTTTCCCATGAGAGTCTTACAAAAATTATTTAGAAATTAAAATGAATGAGGAAATTATTTCAAAAATAAGAGTTACATATATAAATAGTAATAACACTTTTATATTTTACTAATTGTAGTATGATTAAATTTTCAGCTAGTTCTTATCTTATTATCTAATCACATCTTTATTGTTAATTACATGAATATTTCAATTTTCCTATTGTTTTAACAACACTATTGTTTTCAGATATTCATACAAGGCTACTCAAGAGTTATCTGTGCTAGCCATCCTTAATTTTGAAGTGATAGACAAGAGGTAATGCAGCTAGTCAATAGCACCCATTGCCAACTCTTGTCCACCCAATATTCTTGGTTTTGACCAAAGTTTGGAGGAAGATTATTTTTTTTTTGCAAACATGGGTCAAGTATGATGTGAAGATTCACAATCTGGCACCTAACCTACTGGGCTGTTCTTGGTCTAGTGGTAATTACATATGTATTTCTCTTAACGGATTAATTATGTAAATACGTTTGCAAGAACATATACTCTGACATGATTTTCTTCATAACCAAGAACTAGATATACCTTACAGTTTTGGTTTATCTATTTATCAGTTAAACTACAAAATTAAAAAAAAACAGCTTAAACCTCAAAGTTTTTACTGACCTATAGATGGCCAGATCCAGAATAAAGTGGTCATTTTCTTCATTTTCCATAAGCTGAAAGTTGATTCTGTTCAAAACAAATAAACAGCATGTCATGCCATTTTATCACTAATCTACTCCCAAATTCTTTAATGAACAATTAGCTAAAAAAAAAGGTGGATGAAAAAATTTTTAAGCATGAAATTACTGTTCATTAATTCAATCTTTGGGTATGTTTTTTTGTTTAAGTGCAAAGCCTCGTACATACTTGACTATCTGCACTCTGTTTACTGAAGGAAACTTAAAACCAAATTTTTAGCATGCAAGTCCACCAAGAGACAATCCTTAGGGAAGCTTTATTGAAAATCAGTGGCTTCCAACACTCTCTCTTTTTCCTGTCATATTCTCTTCCAAAAACCTCCAAGAAAGATCCCTCAAATTCTTGGACTAATTCTAACAGGATTACTCACTCTACTAGAGAATATTTTAGAAAATTAACATAATTAATATGAGAATTTGCTGCAAAAACATCATATTTTTTATCAAAAGAGAATCATGATGTACTAACTTTGGTTCATTTACATTCAATATCCTTCCATCATCTGTTATTAGCCTTTTTTTAGGCTTGACTTTTTTCTCTGAAGAACTGTAATAAAAACAAAATTTACTAATAAAAATTAAATGCATCAATGATGTATACTTTCTTCACTACTTCAAAATTTGTAACTTACAATACTGAAAGCAAAGTCTTCATGTATCTTTTTATGATTAAATATAGTCTGCATTTAATCTCTGTTCAAAAATAATGAATCTTTATAAACTTATAAAGCACTTTATAAAATGCTTAAATTATTAATCATAGCATATGAAAAATTCTGAAAAATAGAAGCTACACTAATTTGCCAAAAGAACAATATATAACAATATTGTTAAAAAAAAGAAGTAAAAATACAGTCTGAGTAAAAAAGAAATTTATGAAAATAGCAATGAAATCAATATCATGTTGTTAACAATATTATCCAAAAAACCTTTATTGTTAAAATATAAAAAAAAGAATGAAAAAGTAAATTAGCTCCTGCATCTTTGGAGCAAGATAAGTTTTTTTTATTTATTAGCTAATTTGGCAAAAATAAATATGGGGTTCATTATTTATAAAGTCCAATGTCATACATATCTCACAGTAACTTTAAAACCATGCAATGGAATATCAGGTAATGTAGATAAACATGAGATATAATTGAATGTGATCACATGTTTATGATATAAAAAATTAATTTTTATATATTCAAACCTTTCTTCTTTCTGTCGAATTCTCTCCATGTGTCTGTAGGCTTCAAGCCTGGACTGTGGTGTGTAACTGGTTTCCTCTGTCCAGAATCTTAATGAAAAAAAATAAAAACTGCTGCATGATAACAAAATTCATCAAGGTATGACATTTCACTTCCAATTTCTGGAACACGGTTTATTCAGTGAGTGCACACAAAATACTTTATTTTAATATCTGTATAAAGCAAACATGGTACTCAATACCCTACAAATCATCAACTGATGGTACAGATGTTCCCATGTTTTTGTGACAACTTTGAACATAAGAAAAATTGTTAGATCAGTTTGTCATATAAAACTTTGCAAAAGCTTATGGTTCAAATCCTTGTTTTGACAAACACATTAAAATTCCCAAAACATTGTTTTGGCATCAGTGAAAGGTCTTCCTGAATCACTTAAGGCTATTTTTGCTCAGTATCATTCTATTTTCACCTTGATTTGCATTATATGTAAAAAAAGGTTTCACCATGTTCATAGCATCTAGGATACTTTGTGCACTTAGTAGAAATAACAAAAAATGTTTTTTGACATGTTCAATCATATCTAAGTTTGTCAAGTGATGAACAAATGATTACAGTGAAAAGAATATTGTTACGTCTCCGTTTGTTAATTG